TACAGTAATCTCCGGTGCGGAGACCGTCGAGTTCTCCGGCTTTTTCCATTAGCACGATGTCACCGCGATCTCTTATTCGAAACTGTCCTCTTGAGAAGGTAAGCGTTCTGACTCCATTTTCTGTGTCGCACTCCAGATCTTTCACTATCACTCGCCTTTCAGCCATGGGTGTCTGAAATAAATGAAATGTCATTTAGACTTAGCCGAAACAATGAATATATTTTTTTCAACAAAAAGTTTTACGTTTGTACTTAACCACACACATGCACGCGACATCGCTAATATAATATACAGTAGAAGATAGCGTAGATAGGGCAGTGAGTTTGTTAATACAGTTGGAATATTGTGAGGCTACAGCATAATCAGAGAGCCTACAATTGCTTCAGAATGACACAATTTTACTTCAAGTTTAGAAGCCTATGACAAAGATAAAACTGTTTGAATGAAATACCTCACCAGGATAATTCTAAAATCATTCATTTTTTTCCGCATGTGGACCACAGTTCCCTCTGGGTATGGTTGACAAACGCCATCGACATAAACTTGGTCGGCATCGCAGAAGCAGCTGACGACTGTCCCTCGCTTGCTGACGCCTTCCACTGCCCCCTCCGTCGTGGTGTCGCTTGTCTCATCGCTGGCAGTTGTAACTACATCTGCGGTTATATCAGGATCCCAAGTCGTACTGATCTCTTCGGAGACGAAGGGTGAACGAGTGACGAAGTTGGGATCAGGTACATCGGTTGACACATCTACGGCTGACCCTCCCAGGGTGGGCGGGTCGGTCGTGATCCCCGTGGGTCCTTCAGGAGGGCTTTTCTGAGACGCCGGCCGAGGGACGACGGGATCAGCTTCGGCATGATCGGCTTCTTTCACTCCAGGGGCCGAGTCTTCCACACTGGACGAATGAAGCTCTTGTGTTGTAGGTACATCCTGGGTTGTTAACGGTATTGATGTGACATTATCAAATGTTACGTTAGGAACTTCGGCTGCCAGGGCAGGAGGCGAGGCTTGTCCGATGGTGAAAATCACCAAACCTGTTACCACTGCTGTGAACATGCTTGAGTCAGTTTGCTATATCGTGTTTAGTTGATCATAGTATGGACATTTTCATACCAGGTATAATGTCCAAATCAACCACGCAGGATCTCACTGGACAGCCAAATAACTGCAATTCCTTTGGGCATATTATAGGGCACACACTCGAGTTTTTACTAATTATCAACTTTCCTTTATTACATCTATCATGGCGTAATAAAAAAATACACCTTGTGAATCCAGTTTTTCTTCGAGTCCACTCTTCCGCAGTCCACCTTCGAACAAGCTTCACGGGCAACTGAGCGATAGTGGGCGAGTGAGAGGTGGGTTGCTGAATGATGTCTCCGGCAGGACCGCTTCCTTGAAGTTACCAAGTCGTGTTTACTCTCGCAGTATAACATTGGTCGACCACCCGTAGACTTATCATTTTTTAGTGCTATATGATGCTTTCTTAAAGATTATAATGGTCACAATAATAATGCATTTAAGGAAATATTTTCTAAGCAAATATTTTCGTTTTGATCGTGCCAATATTCTAGGAAAAATAATGCTGGTCGTTAACCCATTGGAAGAAGGTCGCTGTATGAAAAAAATAGACATTAGTTACAACATAGTGTCCTGATGACAATATACTTCACATCGGACTGCATAACCAATTGACAAACACATGACAACTTTCATTGAAATTCTTCATTAGTTGTATGTTCAGCCATATAAACCTTCATCAGAGATCCAATACAAATATAACATAATGAAAAAGACAACAATGCCACTAACTGTAGATTGTTTAATAGTTATTATGCATCCACAAACGCCTTGTCATACGCACTTATTCAGTTTGGGTTAGGTTAAGGTCTCCCTTTGTTTATTCGGGAACACGTAGGCATAAGGACAATATATCTTGTGGAGTCTTGGGTCATATTTGTAAAAGAAGTGTTTTTTTTCACGGAAGTTCACGTCTAATCTCGTCTTCAAAATGAGAAATTTGTTTGATCGAGAAACAAGAAATTAAATAAATTTTGGTGCCGCGAGTTCAGCCACGTGTATTTCCGGTGACGGAGCCTTGTTTACATGTAGTCATTTGTTCTCCCTCGTAAAAAAATTACTTCATACGGTATGTTAATATAGATTATAAAGATGAATAAGAACAAACTATGATAAACCTAGGATTCTGGAAAGGAAAAACAAGAAACAAACAAACAAAAAATGCTTTCCCTTTTCACTGTGCATAAAATCTTCCATAAAAATATGCAAAAAACGAAGAACAAAAGAAATAAGACATTACTCATATTTCCTTCATCCTCCATTGTTATCACTACTAACGTCACTAGTGTTACGATATCCTGCTGGCTTTTGGCACGATCCGGTTAAGAATTTCGGTGTCACGGATGTAGAACAAATGGTGGCTTGCTGTCGAGATTTAACATGCGAAGCTATTTGTGTGTTGAGCATTCGGGAAACGTTTCTTAGATGAGTATTCTGCGAAACGTTTCTCTCTGAGCATTCGGGAAACGTTTCTTAGATGAGTATTCTGCGAAACGTTTCTTAGATGAGTATTCGGGAAACGTTTCTTAGATGAGTATTCTGCGAAACGTTTCTTAGATGAGTATTCGGTGAAACGTTTCTTGGATGAGTATCCGGTGAAACGTTTCTCTTTGAGCATTCGGGGAAACGTTTCTTAGATGAGTATTCGGTGAAACGTTTCTTAGATGAGTATTCGGTGAAACGTTTCTTAGATGAGTATTCGGTGAAACGTTTCTCTTTGAGCATTCGGGGAAACGTTTCTCAGATGAGCATTCTGGGAAACGTTTCTTAGATGAGTATTCTGCGAAACGTTTCTCTTTGAGCATTCCATTCGAAATTTCTTAGATGAGTATTCGGTGAAACGTTTCTTAGATGAGTATTCGGTGAAACGTTTCTTAGATGAGTATCCGGTGAAGCATTCGGGGAGATGAGTTCGGGAAACGTTTCTTAGATGAGTATTCGGTGAAACGTTTCTTAGATGAGTATTCGGTGAAACGTTTCTTAGATGAGGATGAATCGGGAGAAACGTTTTCTCAGATGAGTATTGAAACGTTTTCTTAGATGACGTCTTCTGAAAACGTTTCTTGAGTATCGGGTGTTCTCGTATTCGTGAAACGTTCTTAGATGAGTATTCGGTTGAAACGTTTTCTAGATGAGTATTATTCGGTATTCGAAATTAAACGTTTTTCTTAGATGAGTATTCCGAGTGAAAACGTTTCTCGATGGGTATTCGAATGAACGTTTCTCTTTGAACATTCGGGAAAATGTTTCTTAGATGAGTATCCGGTGAAACGTTTCTCGGATGGGTATTCGAATGAACGTTTCTCTTTGAACATTCGGGAAAATGTTTCTTAGACGAGTATTCAGTGAAACGTTTCTCGGATGGGTATTCGATTGAACGTTTCTCTTTAAGCATTGGGGTTAAACGTTTTTCGTTTTGGTATTCGAGTGAACGTTTATTGATTAGTATTTGAGTCAAACGTTTCTGAATGAGTATTCGGGGAAACGTTCCTAGGATGAATATTCGGTTAAACGTATCTCGGATTGGTATTCGATTGAACGTTTCTCGATGAGTATTCGTATAAACGTTAATCAATAATTATTCGGGGAAAACATTTATTGGATGAATATTCGTGTAAAAGTCTCTTAGATGAGTATTCGGGGAAACATTTATTGGGTGAGTATTCAGGGAAATATCTGTTGTTGAGTATTCGTGGAAACATTACTTGGAGGAGTATTCGGGAGAAATGTTTCTAGATGAGTATTGGGGAAACGTTTCTTAGGTGACTACTAGGGAAGCATGTCTTGGATGAGTATTCGAGACTACGTTTCTTATATAAGTATTTGGGGATGCGTTTCAAGATCGAGTATTCGGTTGAATGGTTCGGAAATAATCTTGGAAAAGAATTTTGGGAAACGTTTTCAAATGAGTATTCACTCACCGATAAATGGTTTTCCAGCCATTCACCTGTTACGAAGTGTGTGTTATGTGTGTATGTGTGTGCGCATGTATGTATGTCTATGAAATGATAAGATAATGACTTAAAAACAATAAGAGCGCTTGTGGTGCCAAAACGTTTGTACATACAGACTGTAGCGAAAGGAGGTTACATGACAAGGATGTCTCGCAAATTAGCCATCAAGTTTTATTTCTCTATTTTTGTCTACGTTATCTACAATCCATTTTGCCGAGGAAAGCAAAAGAATTTCAGCATACTTCAGATTTGGGCATTTTCTCTTTTAAGGTCCTGTAAATATGAATATGTTGATGAAATATTAGAACCTGAAGGATTTATAGTACAACTTCATTCAGGTCAACTGCTCACCACTTTATCTTTCACAAAAATTTCTCTACTTGAATTATAATTGGTAAGATGATGCATTATATTCAGTTATAAATCTACGTATCGTTTACGGTATTCTGATGTAAAACTACCTTTAAGAAATTATAATTTGTATATTTGGTCAATCACACCGTGCCAGTGTTAGCTCCTCTTGTTCACCCTGCAAACAGCGAATTTATATTTTGCAAAACGAGCCTTGTATTGTACGTGGTGTTGTATATTATCTACTTATGGGTAATCCCCGGTTACTTCGACCCATTCTGCTTTAGCTGAGAATGCCTTTTAGCCAATTTCTTACTCATTTAGGCAAGGAACAGAACAACTTTGTTTAATCCGTATGTTGTTTTTTTACCTTAACTTCGCGTCCTTGAATCGAGACATCGCTGGCAGGGGGAGAAGCGACCATGTACGGTGACCAACTAGTGGCTCACCTTGCGAATTCCCTTTGTTGTGTACACTTCAACATGTCTCTATACTCATTTCTAAACACTGTTGGCTATGTTAGATGCACTAAAAGTATAGCGATTCATGGATTCTTTCCTCACGTGGTGTAAGAGACTTCGTGAATTATTTGTGATGCTTTGTCAGTGAACATGCTTTAGTTAAAACGTAGGACATCAATTGATATATTCGCTCCTTGAGGATTATCAATCATAATATCATCAATCATAGTTCATGATTCCGCCATTGAGATTATAGAAATATCCTTTATTCACTATCTCACTTACTCGATTTTCTTTTTCCAGTCTCGGAAGATGTTTATTTTTTTCCGGGTGTGGAACGAACAAAATATTAGAACATTTTAAGACAAAAATGAAATAAGAAAAACCAAATAACGAAAAGCGGGAAAAGTCCCCTATGTGTTGGTCGTCTTCTGGAAATACCCCAACAGTGTGTGATGTGTGTGTGTGATAGTTGTTAAATTGTCTATAAGTTTAGGTGTAAGTGTGTGACTGATGAGTGTAGTATCAGTATGATTTTTAGTGTGCGCTGAAACACTTTATATTTGGAAAATTTAATGAAACCCCAAAAGAATAAAAAACCACCATACTTTTAAATGTTAGATCGACGAAACGCTAAAGGCATAAAGTGCGATTAAAGACGGCAATTAAGGGTTTGAAAGCAGGAGTAAAAAGGGAATGGAATAATACTTTACACTTCAAACATGCAGTAACTGAGACACAACCATAATAACGGTACATGTCATCCCATCACATTTAATTGTACTCCATTATTATTATTATGTTGCATTTCTTGAAGATGACTTGATGCATGCATCCCCTCCTGCTTGGCCGAGCGTCAGTGGCCTCAGTCGGGAAATCCAGGAAATATACCCTCACGCGGTCACAAACGCACGCACACTCAAGTACAACTCTTGTCACGTGCAGTGTGTGCGTGTGCCCTGGGTATTCTAAGCCAAGGTCCTATATATGTACTTATACAGACCTTGTTCTAAGCTGCCTTTTCGTGTGGCAGGAGAGGGACTCGGGCTCAGCAGCGACGGTGTCCGGGAAGGCGCTGCTGCGGCCTGGCTCGCCTTTCTCTTGCTCGGTCGCCTACTTTGTATGTTTATTTCTATCGGTACGTATATATATATATTATTATAATATATATATATATATATATATATATATATTATCATATACATATATACACTATATTATACATAATATATATATATATATATATATATATATATATATATTTTATTTCTGTATACATATATTGTGAGTGTGTATGTGTGTGTGCAAGCTGCACACGCTTCTTGCTGCGAGAAAACCAAATAGAAAGCTACGAGAATGAAAATAAAGATAGAACAGAAAGCAAAATCTGTTGCCAAACTGCTTCTTTCAAGGCAAAAGATATATTGCTCAGAAGGTTTCCAAATCATGTGTAACACATTACATATTTCCCTTCAAACTGAAATCCGATTCCCTGTAATAT